TTTTGCCAAATATCTTCAGTCTTCAGTCATGGATTGCGAGAAGTAAACTCACTTGTCAGGACAGCTCACATTGGATACACCTGCTAAGACAATCACCTGTACGCTCCTTGCATTTTTTTTTTTTACAGTAAAAGACCCAAACTAAGATGGCCACTTTTCTCTTCCACATTGATGGATGGCTTCCTGGGACAAGTTTGACTGTACAAATAACAAATCATAGGATCGAAGGAAAATGAGTTAAAAGAGAATATAGTGAGAAACACTGACAAAGGATTATAATGCCACCAACCAAATGAGGCGTCTTTTTAAATATATATATATATATATGTATATGTCATTTCAAATTTCCTTTCTAGTGGATCACTACCTTGTAGTGGTTAGAGAGCTTGTGTACCTCAGTGACCCCAAGAGCTACGCTGACTGGAGTATATATGCTCCTGGTAGGGAAATCCATGCCAGACAGGTCGACGGGTAGAGGTCAGACGAAACGTGATCCAAGGTAGTGATCCCGTTTTTAATATATCGCTCAATGGAGAATCTCGGACCGGTAGATCTATTCAATAAAGTTTTGTCAGGGGGGAGACATCAACAATATATGCTTCCATTGGGTATTCACTTCATCTGCATTGGTCTTGGAGAGCTTGAAATTGGTTCTTTAGTTCTAGTCGGAAGGCAGATCTCACATTGCCATCGCTGAGCTTTTAAACATTAAATCGTGTTCTTGTCGCCTCCCTGGTGAATGTTTTCTTGAGCTTGACTTTTATCCTTGCCGTCACTAGATGGTGATCGCTGCCGACATCTGCTCCTCTTCTGACTTTCACATCCTGTAGGGAACGTCTCCACATTCCTCCTATCATAAGATGGTCAATCTGGTTCTTGTCCCAGCCATTTGGAGAATTCCAGGTCAGTTTGTGGATTGTACGGTGTGGGAAGAGGGTTCCGCCAATCACCAAGTTGTTTTACGTTGTGACGAGGTATACCTGTCAATTCCCTCTGCAGCTGTTCATAAAAACAGTCCTTGCTTTCCTCTTCACTGTTGTTAGTAGGGGCGTAACATTGGATGATGATTGTGTTGGTGTGCTTTCCCTTCAGTCTCAGTGTTATCATTCTGCTGTTGATCGGTTTCCACTCCATGAGGCATTTCTCAAGTCCCTTTTTTAGGATGATAGCTACACCTTCCCTATGTTGGTTGTATTCTCTGACTGAATAGATCAATGTTTCTCCAGTTGCTGTTCTCAGCCTGCCGGATCCTGTCCAGTGTCTTTCACTTAATCCCAGAACGTGCAATCCATATCTCCCCATCTCTGCCGTTACTTGTGCCAACTTACCAGTTTCGTACATTGTCCTTACATTCCACAGTCCTATATTAACTTTTGTCTTTGTGGTGTTCAGGTCCTCCATCTTCCTGCAAACAGCTTCCTTGCGGCTTTCACTGCCAGCAATCATACGAATCCCAAGAGACTCTGAAGGTCCATCACACACAGAAATATGGTTTCTCTTTGTTACTGTTTCTGTTCGTAACATATGATTTTTACCAGTCTGGGTCATTAGCCCTGAGCTGAACCTCCAAAACCTGGAGGGCCGGTGGATCACGTTTCGTCTGACCTCTACCCGTCGACCTGTCTGGCATGGATTTCCCTACCAGGAGCATATACTCCAGTCAGCGTAGCTCTTGGGGTCACTGAGGTACACCGTACAATCCACAAACTGACCTGGAATTCTCCAAATGGCTGGGACAAGAACCAGATTGACCACCTTATGATAGGAGGAATGTGGAGACATTCCCTACAGGATGTGAAAGTCAGAAGAGGAGCAGATGTCGGCAGCGATCACCATCTAGTGACGGCAAGGATAAAAGTCAAGCTCAAGAAAACATTCACCAGGGAGGCGACAAGAACACGATTTAATGTTTAAAAGCTCAGCGATGGCAATGTGAGATCTGCCTTCCGACTAGAACTAAAGAACCAATTTCAAGCTCTCCAAGACCAATGCAGATGAAGTGAATACCCAATGGAAGCATTTTATATTGTTGAGGTCTCCCCCCTGACAAAACTTTAATGAATAGATCTACCGGTCCGAGATTCTCCATTGAGAGATATTAAAAACGGGAAAATCATGAATTCCTAAGGTTGAGACATAGGCAAAGTCAGTCCGCAGGTCCGGTATTCTTCAATCTTACCTCTCTCTTTCTCTCTCTCTCTCACTCTCTCTCTCTCACACACACACACACACACACACACACACACTTCTAGAAT